TTCTGGGGAAAAATATAGACAGTATAAAAGCACGCTAATGTATTAAATAAATAAAGTAAAACGAGTTATCAAAGTCTATCCTGCAAAAGAGTATGAATATATCAACCAAAAAGCATTCTTTGAATCAACCATTCCATTAGGCTCTATTTCCTGAACCACTTACATCAGAAAATTCAGCGTTAGATTCCCTATTAACGGAAGGGCCAGATTGTTGATGATGTAACTGATTATTAGGACGTCCAGACGAGGCAGAATTGTTAAAACCACCACCGCGCATAGGCCTTTGTTGAGCACCACCACCAACTTTGGCTGGGGGTTGAACCGACTGTTCCGATGCCACCGTTTTATTTAGATGAACTGCTCTTGCTGGAGCGGTAGAAGGAGTATTGCTGGAAGCCCGTTGAGCATAGCTCATCGGTGCATTTGAAGTTGATTTTTCCAGTTGTTCAGAGACCTGATTCTGCTGAACACTGGGGTTTTGATGATTTTGTGGTTTATTCTGAGCGGATGACGAAGGTTCAATATGCTCCTGCTTAGGAGTAATTTGTGAGTGTACATTAGGATCAGCAGGCTTTCGTGGAGCAGGCTCAGCTGGAACCTTGGGAGATGTCGGCTTAGGATGCTGATCCGCTTCTGCCTTTTTTGAGAACTGCTTTTCAGCTTTCTGTTCTGTAGGCTTATGTCGATTAGAATTTTTGGTGTCGACGGACACCCCGTTTGGTGGAGCCTTCGCGGATTGTTTATTTACAGTTTGTTTGGCCTCAGTTTCTGCAGAAACTAAAATGACGATTTAAATAAACGCAGCTTACCAGTTAAATTACTAGATGGCTTCTCTCGTTTATAGACACGATCCTGGTACCGGAAAATGTCTCCAATTACAGCAAAGGAGTTTGGACCCCTTTCAACAAGAGTAAAACTTCGCATAAACCGCCGATACGGTCCACCTGAGACGCTTTGCTCGCCACAAACCTGAACCATTGCGGAATTGCCATGACCTTTCAGAGCGTCAACAGACAAGATGAGTACATGAGTGTCCTTCAGATTCGACTTTGTCAAGAGATTGTTAATATCCACTTGACCAGTAACTGGTTGACTTTCATAGATGAGAACGGATTCATTCGAATAAAACCGATGCAAAAATTCAGGATACTGGTTCATTACAGTATAATATTGGAGAACAAATTGCTCTGCCAAGCTGGATACTTCTTTTAAATTCATTTTTATCAAAACATTGTTTTGAACAGCACTGTCCCCGTTTGTAACCATTCTAAGTTAATGAAAGCCCGATACGAGAGAAAAAGAGCAAAATCACACCGACGATACAAGAAACTAATTGTGGTTGGTTCAAATGACTATTTGATTCAGTATAACAAAACCATTTCTTCAACTAAATAAGAACAAAATTCTTTATGAACACAAAGAAAGTATATTTAAAAAGTCAAATTTTATATTTCAAATAGGTTATTTTATTTTTTACTAGTATACATTTTGCATGAACATTGTGATATCGTTATTTTAAAAGTTGATGCTTATGAATCATTCCATTATTGTGTAATTTGCAATTTTAAACTAAAATGATATAATTTATTATATCTTTTGATCCCAGTTATTTGTTTCTTTACTAGTTACCTTTTAGGCATACATTCCATTTATTGTTAAAATGCGACTCAATTTCGTTGCTCTTTAAATACAAGCAGCATGTTCATTTAATCAATGCATTTTTTATCAAATAGTTGATTGCTGCACAACTACATGCGGTCTTAGGCTATTAATCATAGTTATGTCATATATATATATATATATATATATATATATATATATATATATATATATATATATATGTAAAAGATCAAAATTTGCACATATGAAGTAGTAGCTACAACACTAGGTGAAAATAGAACTATCGGAATGGTGTTGGCAGTTATTGCTTCTTTGTTTCGTACCAAGTTGGTGTATTCTTACCATTTGATATAAAGGAGTCCATACGAACACCTACAATGTTTCGTATGGAGCTCACTAAGTTCTGTGAACTGAACTCGGTTCTCCGAAAGTTTATATACCCATTACTGCTCTCCCATGTGCTAATCTGGAATAAATTTTCCTTTTACCTCAATGTTACTGTCAATTATTATATTCGTCCAATTTGCATAGAAGCAGAGGAAATTTCGCAAAAAATTGGAGAATAAACCGCTTCGAGTGGCAATAAATCAAATCTCTTCTATCGATTCCGGATTAATTAGATCATAGGGGTTTTTGACGAGAGGTAATGAAGTTCCGTTTCAGGATTTTTATTTATTAGTTAGCTCTCTGACACACATATTGGGATCCCTCAATAGAAGTTCAGTAAAATGGTGACGACCTAAAAGTAATTTTTTACCTAAAGCATGCAAAGTGCCTTGAGGGTAAGCGCAATTTAGTTTCTGTATTTGTCAAAATTTGTAATTTTTGTTGACGGATTGTATGTGAAGCACTCATTTATTAATAATAGCTTTTATTAGGCATCGCAACATATTTGATTATCGTTGCCTTCCAGCTATAAAATTACACATGCTTCAACTTTGTAGATCATGCCAATCCTTTTAGGCTTTGATTTGTTATCCCTCACTCTAACGTTTCACATAATTATCAAACTTATACCTCAATACTAATACTCTGTTACCATAATTTGTCCCCATTAAAATGATATGATGATTACAGAAAAGGGAAGACATATTGTTAAACTGTTTTTTTTCATTATTAAATCAACAACTTTCAAATTTAACTATTTCGTGGAGACCACTAACTTACTCGACATACAATACAGCACGGTAAAATGGAAATATGGAAAACAAATTTATTCATTCAAATTTATAGTGATTCTTCTTTGAGTTCAACATGCTGTTCAATGCCATAGCTGCATTTACAAACGCCTTCATTGGTGAATATAACTGCACCAGGTTTATTCGGCACTGGTTGGAAGCCCTTTTCAGGTTTCAAGAAATCGGTTAATTTTGAGATGGTTATAAGTGTCACAGGCTTGTCCTTCTTGTCGCGAGGTACAACTGAAATTATGCCTTCAAACAGGGTGTCGACTTTGAAAGCCCCGTTATAATTACCTTCGGTGATGACCAAATCGGCTTTTGTCCTGTGACCTGGTTGAACCACAACCTAAATCGTTGAAAATAACAGGTTACTGGCAAAATATAAGTAGCCTTTATTCAATAATCCTCAATTTTGGTGATTATATGGTGTACGTTGTAAAGCTTATAATAAGTTAGACAGAATTCGAGTCAATATAAGCTTTACCTATTTAAAATTAGAATATTTAGTCTAATTTCAAATACTCTTCATCATTAGTAAAGGATTGAGATTTGGTTGTTTAAGTGTGTGAATAAAGGAAAAATTAATTTGCTGAAACTTTATTTGTACAGACTATTAGTGGTTAATAGAAGACAAAAAATGACCATAGGCATTTATACTTTTAGAATAATATTTTGTATAAAATATTCATTTTCTATAATAAAGGAGCCCAGCACATTAAAATGTTTCTTGGAAAACGAGAGGGTTTCTGTTTTTAAGAATGACGTAAAATTGACGAAAGTTCTTGTTTATTGGGTTAATGAATTATTTATGTTATAGAACTGTTTTCCTAATAAAGTTGCATACTTTGTAGAAAGCTACACGGACAGTTCAAAATGCCAACCAATGAGCATAGAGGTTTGATAATCGAATGCACCAATCAGCAAAGAGAGCGGAGCTGATTGCCTTTAAACTGCCGTTGCCATAGTGAATTTGACTGCCTTTCAAGCGCGTATTGTTATTTCAACCAATCCTTTTCAACTACACTACATTTCAAATTTTGCCACAAGATACTTGTCAACTAGACCCGTTAAGAATTTGTGAAAATGAAAGAGTAACGTTTAATGGAAGGCAGTTATTTTAGCAAAATATTACTCACAAACTCTGAGGTGGTCTATTAATCAGCATATCGAAAATACCTTTTGCACCTAGAATTGTCTGTTATTCATTGGCATGAGTCTGGCTTAATCTTTAAGTTATAAAGCGCAATTAAAGAAAGTATTCAGATAAAACGTTTCGAGATGAAGTTAAAAAGGTCAATCAAGTATGGCTTATTACCATAAGGAAATATTATTTATTGTTTTACTTTAGTTAACAATTCAATTTCTTACGATAAATCCTTGTGGTTCAAAGGAAAATTTGTTTACAAATTCAAAATAAGTTTTAGTAAATCAGTTAACGCTCTCTTAAATTACCATGGACGTTTTTATGAAATCAAAACTCCTTTTGGGAAATAATGAGGTAGCCAGACTCAGTAATAGAAGTAACGAGAGCAAAAACTCAACCCACTGGTTAATCTTGATTTAAGAAAAAAAAATCAATATTTAACTATTGATCTAAGTTGAGGAACAAGCTGTTTGAAGTCCGCTCTTTCCATCCTTGGCTTCTTTTTACTCAGGGTTTAGTGAGATAACGTTTTCCCAAAATCGGATATTTAAATTTGTTGTATCCGAGCTGTTGCCACAATTGAATTACCAAAATTGGTAAATTTGTGCTGATGAATTAAAACATTGAAGTGTATACATACGAATTGAATAGATAACGAATAAAGCAGAATTAGATATATCTATTTTCTTTTAATTAACTAGACATGATGCCATATGGCAATCAAAACCATATGCTACTTTATTCGGACAACAAGTTGGACGGCAGGGTGTCCCAAAAATGGTAATCAGGAACAACTTAAATGTAAAACCGAAATGTTATTTAATCAATCAAATCCAATTTCGCGTAATTTCAAATCTTCACAATTTTGGTAATTAAAAGTTCAATGAAATCAGCTCGCCATTCCAACCAATAGAATGGCTTAAGGTCTTTTTAACATCGGTGAAATTGAAATAGCTATGTTCAATGGCAGCACTAACATCAATAACAGTAATTTTATTATTATTCAAAGGAAGAACAATATCTTTTATTATTGAAAGATTACAGAAAGAAGTTCTTCTAAATCCTGAAGCGCCATGGTCACTTTTACAACTTTAAATTTAATAGAGGTGGCTACTTGATGCAAAGCTATTCGAACTAAATTTTATGAAATTTAAAATTTGATTTCGAAAGTTATTGGTGGCTAAAAGTACTCCATTCACATATTTTATAACAGAGCATTCATGTGAATATACCCAGTGTTGCTCACAAAATCACATTACATTAAAAGTTTTATAAGCACCCACCTTGTGAAGAAATTTTAGTTGAGGAAAGGAAACTGTTTAGCAGACTTTATTGATTTTCAACTTAACGCGACAACTAAAAATAGCACCATCTCAAAGACGACGTTGAAAAATGAACCAATCGGAGCAAGACCACGTGTTTTATTGGTTAAAGTAGCGCAAAAAACGAGAGATGGAGTAAATAACAAGATATTTTCTAATCGATGGAGAAGGAAATGGAACGAAAGAAGATGCATTTGAGTATATATTAAAAGGAAGTGAAAAAAACCCAAAAATTGCAATAACTCTCATCAGTAATAAAATTGAAGTTACTGCGGAGACACCATGAAATTGTTTATAATATTGACAAACAAAACTAATTTAGAAACCGTGATATAGTCAGCCATTTTGCACCTCCATTAAGCAGTGCTGATTAAAATCCCTCCTATTCAGTGCAATTTGGTAGAAAGCACGGAATGTGTTTACATCTTTTAAGTCGCCAAAATATCAGATGATTTGAATGGCAAACCGCATTTATTACCTTTACGCAAAAAGAGGCCAGAACAATGCGAGCTTTCTAAAGAAGCGATCCTTGAACGTCTTTCCTTCTCAAAAGAATTTGAGCAAAAATAGTGAAGTACAAATCGTTTGATTGCGTTGTATGTGAGTCCTCAAGGAAAGAATATATTTCCTAGCAGCCACTAGAATAAATCCCTGTTTCTTTGGTTCAACATTCAACAGGAGCTTCCTGGCCCAATTTCCAGTTGAAAAGAGGATTCAAAGGTCATTTGCAACTTTTGGCCTATAAAAGGAATGTAATTTTCTCCAAAGAATTCTCGCGGAGGCAGTTAACGAGTTAGCACATATATTCAGCTGAAACGTACTTCAAGAGGGAATTATTGCAATGCGTGCAGAAAAGTGGAGTTCTCTGAGAGCGATTGCTTTTGGGATAATTAAAAGCTACGTGTGGATGTGTGTGTGTGTGTGTGTGTGTGTGTGTGTGTGGCCTATAATTAAGGACCAAGTTGATATGACTAAGCAGAAAAAATTGAATGGAATAGTCTTTTTGTAAGTACGTAGGTACTCAACTTATCTCAGACTAAATTTATATTTAATGCAACTTTAATCAAAGTTGTAGAGAAGAATTTAATGTAATGTAGGGGGATTGTAATAATTACATCGAATAATAAACTTTTACATTGAAAAGGAAGTCTTCAATTCAGCTTTAAGCATAACATCTATTTTAGAGCAAAACAATACAAAATTTTGAAATGTATGGAAAAGTTTCTAGGTCCCCAGCTCATGATCAAGATCTGTCAAACCACCGATTCGGGAAATGAAATTTAGTAAACATAACAAGTGGATCGATACCTCCACACCACTTGCTAATGCTGATCCGAGAACAAAAATAAATAAGTTTCCCTAAAGAAGGGTTTGAAAATTTTCTGAATTTCTTTGTGTTCCCCAACGCAAGGTAAGCAGGACGTTTCAAACTAATGAAATCGCCTTATGAATAATCCATAGGAATTTTAAATTGAATGATTTGAATTGAGTGAAAATTAAGCTAAATCGAAAAGAACCTCTACTTGATTGAAAATTTATTCGCTTATTGTGGAAGGCCGTGATATTTGAGGTTTGTTAACCTTATTCAACGACCATTTCCTTTAAGTACGTGTTTTTTAATTGGATGAAAATTTTACGCACTAATTCTGAAAAGCGCTTGCCATCTCCCTACTATCGAACAAATCTGTCAACGATTTCATGGACGTTTGACCTTCAACAGAAGAGTTTTCATGACAAATTTGATTTATTCAATAAATAATCATGGAGACAACATTGCTTGTTTATTTTTCAGGATTTAATAAATAGTGTCGTATCGGTGGACAATCATTATAGTTCTGCATTTCTGGAACAAAAAATACACAATTATTTTACCTCGAGTGAAAGTAGATAAAATCATCTGGATTTATTTGCCACCATAGCCCTAAAAATCCTCAGTCCTTTCAGTCTGTCACGAAATGTGCATTTATAATCCAACTTACGAATCAGAAATGACGCCATTTAGACTTTGGCCAGTGGAGACATTTACCTTGGCATGTCGTCGTGACTGTATGAATTTGCATGATGCGTGTGACTCGTTAAGCACACACATTGGCTTTGTTAGCTCTACCACAACTCGACAACTAATCCCCCTGATTAAGTCGTGCATTAAAAAGAAGAGATTAGTGTGAGCGTGAATTCCTAATGAGGGAGGATTCGAATAACCTCTAAACTGAACAACAAAATGCAAATGTCATCTATACACGTTTGCGCATTAGTCAGTTATGGGCTTTCTTTCGTTTTGGGAGGGGAGGGGAGGGGGGGGGGGGGGGGGGGGGGGAGAGGAGGGTGGTTAGAACCTCCGTATGAATTTTTCAGACCATTGGCGGTTTAACCGTAAATTTGCCAAAAAATTAGAAAAGTAATATATATTGTGTGAAATAATTGGAAAAAAACTTAAGCTAATCAAAGTTTTGCGCAAAATGTGCTTGGTTTTAATCAGAAGATATTAGAAATACTGTCGAGTTTCATGGTTAGTCATAAAATCATTAATAATTCAGTGATTGGCGGTGAGAATTCCTATATGTTTCTTAAAAATAAGAATATCTGGATTCCAAACAGTGCATGATTCACCTTTAAAAAAAATTTCTATTAAATTTTCATCTGTGTCAAGGATGCGTCAATTCCACTATTGTTTAATAATTTGTAAATAGGATTAAAGATTACGGTGATCCTGCTTTTGAAATAATTGTCATAGAATATCTCAACATAAAAACATTACTTTTAAATTGCAGAAGCCATTTCATTCACTGATTTGTAAAAATATAATTTAGCGTTCATTTCATCTGTAGGTAAAATATGCCTTTAATCGCATTATGCAGCAAAATGATAAGAATTAGGCTAAATGAACTCTGTTATTTTTTCGAACGTTTATACTAAAAAACGATAGTCTATTTGGAACGAAAATCAAGATTTTGGATTGTGGAACATCGGGCAGGGAATTCGATTTCTTAAAAGATGGGTCAACTTTGCCGAAACCCGATTACACAAGAATTAGCTTTCTGTTAATTCGCACGACCCCTCTTCCCCAAATTAAGTTTATATTCTCAGCCTCAGTCAAATATTTATTCCGTCCACAATATCCATAAAAATTGGAAACAATACCTTCTTCCATGATAAATCAAAGAAACTTCCAATCAAAATTCAGTTATTAATTCCAATGACCTTGATGGTGGACAAGGATTTAGGCAGAAGATAATAAATTAAAAAATATATTAATATTTACGAAATAAATAATGATGTGTTTTCGTAAAATTTATGAAAATTTTTTGAAAAAAATTCTTTTCATACTATCAAGATATACCGTTAATACGAGTACTCCTCACAAGGATATATAATTGATTAAATAAAACTTCCAATTCAAAATGATAATTTGACAAACTACCCACCTGAGTATCCAACGACCAGCTCAACTCCTCTTCCATAACTTCCTCCTTCTCGGAAGTAAGTGTCTTTTCCTTCGAAAAGCCGCCGTTGGCTTGAATAAGAGTATTCGGTGGGGAGATTTGCAAGCTAATATTTCCATTCCGCATTACAGACTTTGTGAGTTGAAGTCGACAAGTTGCAGTTGTTCGCTTCTCTGTCCTCAGGCTATTCGTCTGTTCCGTAGAGGTTGAATTGATGAAAGTAGATGAGAAGATGACACAATTTTGTGGCCTACCCATATCCCCCTGTGTTTCATGTCGTGAGTTGAGATTTCTAAATTTAAACTTTTTGTCAATCACCCAGGAGGCATTCATTTTGTCGAAATCGATGCGCTTTCGGACTTTCTCGGCAATAGCAAGCTTGCGGACATAATCGAAGAGAAGATCATAAACATCCACAGTTTCCACATTCAACATCTTTGGACTGAAATGCAAAACATAATTTTGAATTGAGAGAGATGGAGTGAGCTGTACTATTATATGCATTCGCTGCTCTTCCTATTGAGGCATTTTTTTTTAAAAATAATTGTCAAAACATTTGCAATTTTTTAATTGACACTAACGCAGAATGGCAGCCAATTTCGAGGTGCACAAATAAATTTTTTCATATAGAATCACATTTTTATAGCTAATATGGAGAAGTATTGAAATTCCAGATAGTTAGAGAACTAAAATTATTAACAATGAAAAATAACAAGAAATTATTGTGATAAAATTTAAGACAATATGAAATAGGATTCGAAAGTAATAATGAATGGCTTTAATTTGCAAATGTTAAGTGTCAAGATTCATTGTTAAATGACATTGGAGTGTAACTGAAATGCTTTAAATCTTTTAAATAACGATCGAAATTTCCACATTATTTCGATACTTGTAAATTGGGGTCTATAGTAATGGCTGTCACAGGATTGAAGATTAAAGCGACTGCGGTGTCATCAGCCACCAGTTAGGACATTCTCAGTCTCAATTGATCCTGTCTTTGTCTCTTCCTTTGTCCTGGGATCTACGAATAACATTTCCATTCACATTCTACTACGGCAGATGAATATATATCCTAGAAACTAGCTATGCCTTTAACAGTGAGCTTAAAATGACTTAGACAACATTTTGTATTTCCGTCTTTTAACTCAAGCCTATAAAAAGGGTAAAATTGACCAAAGAAGGTTTATCGATCCAATGCCTGCAAGAACAAATTCAGAGACTTGAATATCAAATCATGTAATTCAAGCTCTGAATGGTGTGAAGCATGTTCTTTATGATAAAATGGAAAGCTCAATGCTCCCAAGGTTTAAGTCTCACAAAATTTTAGCACTACTGCCAGTATTCTTTTACCTTTTGTTCTTTCCATCGTTTCATTCATTACGAAAATAATTCGTTTCCGTTTGGTCGTATCACGTTCCTAGATTAAAGCTTAAAAACTTTCGTTTTGTGTCTCACTATTAATGGCATCGATAACGCCTTCCTAAAAGGATATACTAAAGATTGAAGTGCTATCTACTTCCACAGCATAAATAGAAAGTTTAAATAAGATTGCTAGTTACCACTTCAGGATATCGTTTGAAAACGGCAAATAATCTCCCCAGTATCTCGTGAATAAACCTACACAAATTTTGGACAATATGAAGAAAGAACATTTGAGACAATAAAAAAATTTTAAGATTTTTTTCAAAGTACTTAGAGGACTTACAGATTCCCACAACAGACTACTGCTTGTAGTGCAGCTCTAAAGTTGGTGGTGAAACTAGCCCAAATTGACCAAAGCCAAACTGGCCAATCGGAATACTGCAGTTGCGCGCCAGTGCGCAAAGGCAACAGGTGCACCTGATTCGCCACAGGTGCGTCATTAAGCCCAAGAAAGGTCTGTGCAAGTTCGGAATTAGTGGGAGAATGCAGGAGAGTGGGAGATTGGGATTAATCATCGATTAAGGCCACTGCAGATACACCATCATTGGGATTATTACCTCCGATGGTGGCACGCAAAATGGCAGAAGAAACTCATTTGTGCACTTGCTGGCCAATAGGAACAAGTCTCTTGTTTGTCTATGGTGTTGTTCAAAGGTATGCACCAGTAAAGCGCGATTCACAAACTTTATCAAGATATTGCGAAGGCTAAACGAAATTTAAATAAAGATTTAATGTGCCTGTTTTGCAAATAATTTCACACATATCAAAATCTTCTAAATTGCGGATTTGGTTAAAGTTAAAACGCCTGGCTTCTAAGGTCACATCTTAAATTTTGGCCTTAAGATTGATGGGGGTCAGCGAAGGTAGGAAGATGACTTCAACGTAGCAACTAGTGGTCCCGTTTACCGAAGACTGAAAAGCGCAATTGGAAAGCACGTTTATTTTAAGGTGGAAAATACTTTGTCTTTAAGCTAGATTGTTGTGAATTTTGATACTATTATGTGTGTGTGTGTGTGTGGGGCGGGGGGGGGGGGG